ATAGATTAAATACCATTTGTTAGCCATTTATTGGCCTTTTATTGTAAATGGGCCTTCCAGGCCCAAGCCTGGAAGCCCAGCCCACTTTTCTCCTATAAATACTCCCTAAGGGAGCCATGTAAAGGGTTGGAAATTCATTATATATATCACTTTATCTCTCTAGCTCTCCCTTCTCTCTAGGAGTTAATACTCCATCAAATGGTGCTTTCATTGAGAGCTAGAATATATCAAGTGAGACCCTCCCAACTTGCTACTCTTCGGCCTAATCGGTGGAAGCTGTGGACCCATCGGCCAAGATGCCACATCGGCCCAATTGGCAGTCCAGTGTTGCTGAATCATAGCATATAAGGGCAGTTGGTAAGTGACGGTTAGAGGGTCCCTCGGCCAACAGCTCCCAACAAGGAAAAGGCAGATAAAAGAAAACCGGTGGCAGCCCCTCGTCCAATGACCATTGACCGGCCAACCCCCAGGTGGTTTCCCTTCGGCCAAAGACAGCACTTGGTTGCGGAACCTGCACATATTGGCCAAGATAAACAAACACACATCGGCCGAAACAGGGTCCGGCCAAGCGCCACCTTCGTCCAACTGCAAGAGTCGAGATCAGCTCGGTTGCGACAACGGCTCCACCTCGGCCACACGTCGGCCAAGTCCACACAACGGTCAAGCAAGAAAAGAAAAAACCTCATCGACCGGCACCCCATGAATGGCATCCCATCGGCCAGCAGCCCGGCACACCGTCAGCCGGAACACCATCGGCCTGTACGCCATTGGACAGCAACGCCTCGACCGGTAACACCGTCGGCCAGAAATTCATCGGCCAAAACTGAAGAAAGGGAGTAAAATTCTGCCACCCCTCGTCCTGCAGCCCGTCATAATGTTCCTCCATCGGCCGAATGGGGCCCTCTCCCTCGAGCAGGTAGATGACTTCTCTTCGGCCTCAACAGCCCAAACTGTACACAACAACCTTGTCTCGAACAGAGCGGCAGTTCCCTCGGTAAAGGAAAGCTCCTCTCGATATCTGTCGTCCGTAACGGCCCCGTCACCACGTAGTGCCCTTCGGTCAAACCTGAACAGAGGAGAGAACGACACCCTCTCGGCCAGTCCACCACCATCGGCCGACCGCGTCTCCGGCCAACAGTGAGTCATCGGCCATCGGGAGGACCCATCGGCCAGAGGTGCACCATCGGCGGAGGGAGCTACACCTCCTTCGTCCAGGGTCACCCGTCCTTCATCCCTCAGTGAAGTCTCGCATTGGCCAAAATGGGGTCACCCCGACCAAACATCACGCTCCGGCTGGGGCCGGAGGTCGCCTCAGTGTCTGTCACCGGTGTGACGGTGTCTGCCATCAGTATTTGGCTCCCGGCGCTACCTTTGTGGGACGGTAGCCCATCGTCCACACACGGCAGGAAGGCGTCAACAGCCTGGAAATCGTCCTCTCCCACAGCCAGAGCATCTCCTAGGCCAGGAAGGCTCCTTCACGGCGTTCGTCGCTTCGCTCCAGGATAGCCACATCAGCGATTGCAGCAGGCATAAGTCCCATGGTCTGGCAACGGTGGGTGGTTTCTCTCTCAGCGGCAGGAACGAACCATCTCCTTCGTCTCTCCCGATCCTCATAGCAGCAGGTTCTGCGGCCGGAAATTAAAAGGCACTGGGCCAGGGCTAAATTAAAGTCAAGGGGCCAAGACTACACGGAGTCCAGGATTTCTCATCAGAGGTCCATTTACCCGGCCCAAATATAAGGTATTCCCTCCTACTTTATGCATTAAGTATGGAGCAAAATAATTTTACTACTATTCAAAAAAATTGGTTTTATTAACTATTCAAAAGAAAAATGAAGTAATAATAAAAATTACTACTGTTATTATTATGACCACCTTTGATGCCGGTTAAAATCCCCAAAATGGTGCAACTGAAGCTCTAGTCTACTGAACATCTTTATTTGATGATTTTAATTATATTTGGGTCCCTCGACCTACCCTAGTCACCTTTATTTGGTGACTCGGGCATCTGAAAATGAGAGCCGCTACCGGCCGCACATGGCATTATGCCCGAGAGCGGTAAACGGTACACCTCGTTCTACGAGACGCTAATCGCGTCGCCCAAAAGCCGTTGCCATGAACAACGCACCTATTGTATTCCGCTTATTTTTTGGAAATGTAAATAGAAGATACCACATGTCGTATCAGCAGCCTTCGAGCGAAAGGCTCAGGTCTGCTCCACTTTGTATTTTGTATCAGCGAAGGGCTCAGGCCTAGCTGAGAGAGCACATCGTCCTGGCCCCGTAAGCCTAGAGTGAAACGCTCAGGTATGGCCGACGATGTCCCCAGGACGAGGGGCCCGCAAACGGCCCGCGTCTTGAAATGGGAAATTCACCGCGTCGTCCACGCGCCAGATCGCAGGACGACATGCCTGAAATCATGGCCGAGGTGGCAAAATCCCCCACTCAGGGTTGGGCAACGGCAGCCGTTGGAAACCAACCAAAAGTCTAGCCCGCGTCATAAACGAACGGAAGCCAAGCCCAAGTCTGGAAGCCCAGCCCGCTTTCCTCCTATAAATACTCCCTAAGGGAGCCATGTAAAGGGTTGGAAATTCATTATATATATCACTTTATCTCTCTATCTCTCCCTTCTCTCTAGGAGTTAATACTCCATCAGAGTTAATACTCCATCACTATTAAATTGAATTAAATTTAGAATTTTTATTTATTAGCAGTTTAGCAGTCGATGTGGTTATCATTTTCATTTGCTAATTTTTGAATTTCGAATGACATTTTAATAAGGAAGGGATAAGGTTTATAGCACTTTAATAATGGGAGTATACTGTTATATTTTTATTAAAAGTAAGACTATATGATTAGGAATCATCTCAAACGCTTGCGTTAGTCTATCTCGTTTGTATGTACATAATTGGAAGTACAGCTATAATTAGACATAATTGGAAGTACAGCCATTTGAATCACATGTAACGTATTCAACTAATTTTTTTTGGAAGACATTGTTCTAATATATGACCAAGATAGGATAGTGGATAAACGTATTTTTTCACCACTAATTTCTGTTCAAATGGATCCACAATAATAACCAAATTCAAATATATTTATATTTTTGAGTCACTTACATATATAAAAAATTTATTTCAACATGTTGATTTTTTAATGAGATGTAATATTTTTTTAAGATTATCATTCTTTGTACTTTTATAGGTGATTCGAATCACTTAATATTATTATTATTATTATACTTATTATTATTATACTTAATATTATACCTATTAAATAATTATAATTATAAGACTAATAATAGATATTATTTTAATTATTATTTTATTATTATAATTATTATTGATATTATTATTATTTATTATAATAATAATAATTATTATTATTATCATCATTGTTATATATTGGTTTAGAAAGTTAAGATCAAATTAGAAGAATTCAGATTAGATCAGATTAGAAACATTCAGATCAGATCAGACAGATTCAGATCAGATCAGAAAGATTCATATTAGATCAGATCAGAAAGATTCAGATCAGATCAGAAAAATTCAGATCAGATCAGATCTTAAAACATTTAGATTAGAAACATTCAGATCAGACGAAGAGAACAACTTCTAATTCATATGTTTATCCACTATCCCTATCTTGGTCATATATTAGAATTTTTTCTTTATTTAGTACAGAATAATTCTTATTGACGCTATAAAATTAGAAGATTGTTTAATAAGTGTTCAGATTTTGTTTTTGAATTTTATATAAGCAATATTGATGTCATATGAAAGAACGTAAAAAATTATGAAATTTGATATGAGTTTTGTAAACATTGGATTAAAAATAAAAAAGTTATAACACTTTAAAAATAAAAGAAATTTTTCATATAATGGGACCCACCAATTACCTTCCTCCTTTGATGTTTTTGGACACTTGTCAATTTTTGAGGACAAATTGGTAATTGGAAAACCTATCTCTTTTCTTATACTCCTTCCGTCCCAAATTGATTTGCAAAATTTCCTATTTTGGTTGTCCCAAAATGATTTTCCACTTTTTATTTTAGGTATGTAAATAAGAATAAAGTGACAAATTTACTCTTACTTTTACTTTTTTCCCATTAACTTAAAAGCATATACTTTTAGAAAGATTGGCAAAAGTGTAAAAAAAAACAAGTATCATTTATTGTGATTCCTTAATCCTTGTGCCGGTCAAAGTTTGCAATTCAATTCGGGACGGATGGAGTATATAAATAGAAGAGGACTAGAATTTTTATTAAACGATCTTCTTTTAGGTATTTTCATTAAACAACCACCCCAAGTTTTCCTAACATACTTAAAGCAAAAATCGAAGTGAAATAAACATGGAAGGCGACTGAATCATTTTATTGAATTGATTTACTACTTGGTCACTTATTCGTGCTAAAAAATACATTTACTTAACGAGCAATTATTTAAAAACAAAATATACGGAGTATGTAATACAAGCAGTTAGTAGGTACCTATTTTATCTACTAAATAAATGATGATCTGTATTTCTTTCAGTTTCACTTAGGGATGGACCCAACTGGTTCGAACCGGCCCGGGAACCGGACCGGCCCGCTACTGTGCGGGCCCGGATGACCGGTTCCAAGCTTTAGCCCGGTTTGGGTGGGTCTGGCAAGCCGGGCTCGGGCCTTGATTTTCATGAACCGGCCCGGACCCAGTTCATTTTTTTTTGTTTTTTCAATTTTTTTCCTTTTCTTGGGTAAGATTGGGTGTTTTGGACTTTTGGGGGGTTTTGGGGGGTGGGGTGAGGGAGGGGGGTCAGGGGTTAATTACAAAGCCAAAAAAAATTACCTTGAACCGGGCCCAGACCAACCCGGCTCGGCCCGGCTCGGCCCGGCTTGGCCCAGATCCGGTATCAACCCAAGCCGATTCCGGAGCCCGGCCAAGCCCGGCTTGAACCGGCCTGGAGCCCGGCTCAGCCCAGGCCATACCTAGTTTCACTAATCACAATAACTACTCCATGGTCGTCTAAAATCAACATTTGGTTTGAGATATTCTAATTTATTTCACCAGTACAAATTAGTTCAGTTCACGTGAACAATATAAATGACCTCAAATACAATATAGTTTTATAACCAACCAAAATAAATAAACCAAGAGTCTAATACTCTAATCTACATGCGCATTAATTAGTGTATATACAAAGAGTTCCAGGCCCCAAGAGTTGTAAAATCCGACCTGGCGAATCTTGGTCATTTGAAGCATGGACCCCACATCGAGTAATGGGTGTGGCTGTGTGGTTCCTTACAATAATAAAACTTTAAATCTCACCAATCTCAAGCTCTCTAATTAGTTTCTCAATCTGCCGTCTATACATCGGCATGAAGTGATCACTGATCATGGTCTGGGACAACCTTATTTTGCTATACAATGTCCTGGGCGTGAGAAATATCCCAACCCCCACACCCCCATTACTGCTATGATCATCGCTTACATTATCATCGTCATCAGGCGCATCACTCCTCCCATCATCGTTGCCTTGATCATCCTCAGAAGGAAGGGTGACAATGTGCATTATCCTTCCAGGAGGAAAGAATCTGTGTGCCTCCTTTGTATTCGGAGCAGAAGAGCAGCTTTCAGTCGAGCTCTGGCCCACCTCAGCAATGGCGGCCGCTTCTTCTTCCCTAATCTCCTTAACTGTATCCGTCTCACCCCCATCCTCGTCATACAGCTCTTGCTCTAGCTGTTGCCACATCTGCACCTCTGTCATGTGGTCTTGCTGTCCCCGAGCAGCCATAACATCACCATTCGCCTCAAAATCATCGTCAACATCATCGTTCAATGATGATGACACAGGAAGCTCCACTTCAGAGGAGACAATGAATGGTTCCGAAGCCGCTTTTCGGCTTGAGGAAGATTCTGAGGCCTCATGCTTCTTGTTGTTAGAGATATTAGAGGCCGTTGAGGATCGTCGACGGGGACCGACACATGACCATGATGACAAACGCATGGCGGGACCAGACAGTGCTGCATGTGCCATGCTCTGGGCTCTCCTCATTACAACCTGTAATTACAGTGGCATTCAACATAAGATGGATGACTCTCATGGAAATCTGCTTATTCTTTTCACAAGTCCTTTTCCATAATAAATTATCAAAGGAGCGTGTCAATGTGCTCTATGAGAGAACCCTGTTGAGGTGACTGCAGAGCCACATTTTTGTCATAAATGGAAATATGAAAATCATTTTGGGGCAGGCCAAAAAGGAAACCAGCACAAGTATTTTGGGACAGAGCGAGTATTAATTTTCAAGAGGAAATACTCAACAATATAGAATGATAAGAAAGCGACTCGTAAACTACTACTAAATGATGAAATTTAATAGGAATAAATATATAAAGATTGAAAAGCGGATTGCGAATTACAAAAAAAACAATTGGTGGACTAAAAGTACAAATTTTCCATAAATCAATATCATACTGATGAATAATTTAATACCAACGAGGATCCTACTTTGCCACACACATTATTCATAGTCAGCCTAGTGAAAAATATACACCTGAGTACCGCTGGAGACAGGACGCAATATAGCTCCAGCCCCAGCAACCTTGGCTTTGGCAGTGGCAATGGACGGAAGACGAGAACCGATGGCAGAAGCAGAACGGTAAACAGTACTAAGAATCCTAGTGTGCTCGATCTGATTTCTTAGATCATTCAACCAAGCAGATGCTGTCACCTAAAAATTAAATTTCCGAACAGGTGTTGCTTCCCTTTAGAAACCATACACACATAATAAGGTACCAAAAAACCTTCAAGGGGGATTTGGATTAATTAAATAAAAAAGAACCTCAGCACGCAAATCATCCACCGATGCTGCTGAAAAGGTGGGCACCAAATCAGCTCCGTTTATAACTGAGGTAATAAATTCAGTTCCTGATTCGGCCAACTCCCATGTCATACAAGCAGCTGCAAATGGAGACTAGTCAATAGGTTCAAAGACAACGCGAAAAAATGTTACTCCCTCCATTCTTTTTTAGTTGCAACATTCCCTCCCTTCAAAGACAACGCTTTTTACAATGTTGGCCTTCATTTTATTTAATTCTATATTAGTAATAAAAAAATTAAAAATCATCATCATAATCATTACCCTAGTGCCGCAAAGGCTCCCACCTACGGTGGGGTAAGGAGGGTCGGATGTACGTAGTCTTACCCCTGTACTAAAGCACATGGAGACTGTTTCCGGATGACCCATAGTGAAAATCACATCGATTTTTTTTAATTTTAAAAAATTAAAAATCAAATTATGAAAATTTGTAATGAGACAAATTCCACAATATTTTTCAAAAAAATAATTCCCATACATTAATAAATGAAATGTAGTTAAAGTAGAGTATATGACTAGTGTAAAATTTTCCATGTTGCAACTAAAAGAAGACGAAGGATAGTGTATACTATATTTGCATCCTGAATTTTTGGCATCGATATCATAGATCGATTCATGTTAGCCGACCCCAAATTCTTTTGGGATTGAGGCTTGGATGTTGTTGTTGTAAGTAAAACTTTAGTAGGAAATGGCCCATACTAAAAAAAATAGATAGTTGATCAAACCCATAAATTTATATACTTCTAGTATATTAGAACTAATCAGTCCAAATATATGTCCAGAAAAAACATACTGATTTTCCGAGATCAAAATTAACATTAAAATAAATTATTTTTATTAACATTTCAATTTTCCGTTCCCTACCATTTTTGATGTGATGTAGTCGGTGTTGCATGCAATATGCATTATTATTATTATTATTAAATTAAACAGCAACTAAAAAACCTGGAGCAAAAGTTACACAAGTTGCCCTTGATAGTTCCTTTTGTTCGCGTAGTACATATGTTAAAAGGGCAGCAGTTCCTCCACCCAATGAATGCCCAACAACCTGAGGAAACCAACAGATTTAACTAATGACTAAAAACCTAACACTTAAATAAAAATAGATGGCATTGTGTAATGAATCATCCACAAGATCATCCACTTCCCACTTAACCCTCCCCAGAATGCAATTTTGAGTCTTTAATAAAGAAAAAAACTACTCCCTCCGTCCCCCTAATATTGGTACGGAAGGGGGTGATGTGGTTTTTAAGAAAAGTAGAATTATGTGGTTGATAATGAATTGATAAAGTGGGAATAAAGTAAGAATGAATTAGAGCCACACAAATGTTACCAAATATGGTATGGGACAATAATAGTGGGACATCCAAAAATGGAAAAATGAGACAATTATAGGGGGATGGAGGGAGTATCAAATAGCTATCATGGTATATCCAATTAAACACACAAACTTATAAAAAACGTTCAATTAGCATTTTAATGAGTAGCTTACAGGTTACTAGTAACTTTTTTGTATTTGTGATCTACACAGCTTTTTCTCTCTTCTTTCCTTTTCCTTTTTGAAGGGGAACCTTGGCGCACTGGTAACGGTGGTAACGTTGTTGCTGTGTGACTGAGAGGTCACAGGTTCAAGTCTTAGGAGTGGCCTCTTGTCAAAAATGACAAGGGAAGGCTTGTCCCTTATACACCCTTGTGGTGGGACCCTTCCCCGGACCCTTTCCTTGCGGGGGATGCCAATGTGCACCAGGCTGCCCTTTTCCTTTTCCTTTTTCTCCTGTCTTTTCTTTGTTTTCTTGTTCCGTTTAGTCTTCTACGTGTTCTTCTACTTATAATTTCTATCCACATTCTTCTTTCTTCTCCAAGCTCTTGCTAAGATTTTCTTTTCCATTTTTATATCTTTTCCATTTTCTGCTTTTTATTTCTCTTCTTTGCTCTTCTTTCTTGTTCTCCCCAACTTCATTCTTTTTCCCAAATAAATCAAATCTCACTTCTGTCTTTATAATGTTACTCACACAGTCCAACTCCAGTAGTTGTTCAGCAGATTCTTATTCAATTAAATGGTTTTGCTTCGCTCTTATAAATGAAAGCACTACTAATTCAGCAGGTAAAATTGCCATCGACCAATAGTTGGAAAGCTTTTTTGAACAGAGAGAGAAAATAATATTAAAAAGAAAGAAAAAATGTTCTCAAATAGTTGGAAGAACGGGCTGTGGGGGACTGAAATTATCCATAGCCCAATGCTTGGACATAAAATGTTTCAGAAAGAATGGAGGAAAGAAGAGAGAAAATAGCATTCTGGATTTATAGAACACATGCCACGCTGGGTGTTGAAGAAAAGAAAAAGGCAAAAAAATGAAGACATTGAAATTAACTAAGCCCTAACACATGTGAATATGTATACAATTGCCACGCAGGCCCAGGTAACCTGACACGTGGAGGGTAACCTCCAAAATGGAAGAAATGGTTATTTTTATGTAGCTGATGTGATTAATTGGGTCTTTTTTAAGTACAGGGACATAATTGCTTAATTGACAACACTAGGACGGCCTTTTAGATAGTTTTTGCCATAATAAAATATGAGATCAGAGATATCTAAAGGGTAAAGAGCCATTCTATGTACATTGCAATGTTATAGTCCTCATGCAGGCAGAAGCATAGTCAGTCTAGTCCAAGATTGGAGCAGTTCTAAAACCCTCAGCATGGCACCTAATCAAAACACAGCTACATCTTGGTCTATGCTACAAAAAGTTTATCAAACATTAATCTTTCAAAAAGAAGCAGAAGGTACCTTAAGCCTGTAATCAGGATACTTGTCGAGTGCGCTTAAAAGACTGGGAGTTGAAAGCTTTGCAATCCATCGAGCAGCTGCAACCATTCCACAGTGTGCATATCCTAACACCAAATTGCTAACTCCCCCCTCATGTACCACCGTATGATGAAATGGGACCACTGCCCCAGTTGCAGCAGTTAAAGTATCTTTTACACTGTGAGTTCCACGAATCAATAGGAGGAACGATCTTGAACTGTGGTCAACTAATATCGTAAAAGCCGGTTTCAAAATCTGCAAAACAATAACTTTGATGTTGAGATTTTAGACTGAGAGAGAGAGAATTACTGCCATTCAGTAATATTATTTTTCCCAGCACTATCCTAGGCAATGCGTTTATATAACAAAAAAACTGACAGCCAAAAAATGTTTCTATAAAACAACATATGATAAAAGGTTTCTATAATAGATGCTGTAGAAATTACTTATGATTGTAAACACAAAATACAAGAACAACTTTTTCTGAGATCTCTTCAAGGAAAAAAACCTGAGGGCTATGTTTAGAACTCAGATAATGGTAAGCAAATAAAATTGGGAGGAAAATGTGGTGGAAGATAGAACACTTGTGCAAGCTTGATGGTTTTTTTATAGTTGTTCACTCACTTTGTTTATCACCATCTTTCATGATTTAACAATATAAATCTTGTAATGAGCATGAAAATAAAAAATATCTAAATTCCTCAGTCTCTTGATACTTTCCATGCAAGTGAAAATAGCCTATGATGATATCAGTTTTAGCATTTTGTTACATTATTCCTTTTTTACTTTCTTTGCAATAAAGCCGGCAAGCCGCAACATGAAGGGCAACCAGAGTATAGCTTTTACATTCTTCTTTTTGCATGCATTTATGATTTATAGTGTTACCAAATCTTAGCTCTATAACTAAGTAGCAGTATACAGTTCACGCAACGACTCCAATACTTGGGATTAAGGTGGTGATGCTAAGGTTCAAATTCATTTATTTGTAATATATAAAGAGTGAGAAACATGAACATATGTAATATAATTTAAAAACATTGTCCATATTTAATGATCATATGCATTCCCAAGTCAGAGTCAAGTATTGGTCCTCTGAGTTAAATACAGAAAAGTAAGTAGTACCCTTCAGCAGAGACAGATACAGGAAAGTAACTTTCCTCATCACTATTCCGCTCCCTACACCCTAACATTTTTATGATCAAACATACGCTAGAAGAATTATTATTGGATAAACACACAATAAAAAACATTGAATGATCAAACTTACTCCAGCTTTAGGTTCTTGCAAAAGAACACTTTCTTGGGAATAACCCGTCTCCTCCAAGAATAGTGGAAATGGCTTCTTAGAAAAATGCCAACAAAGTGTCAATAGGTTTAACAGATGTCTAAGCTCAGAAGCAATTTCAGGTCCTTTAAGTTGTGCACAACCTTCACTCCCAAATATACTGCTGACGTGTATATTCCCCTGCAAATCGTAGAAAGTGTGAAGCATCAAGAGTAAGAACATCTCTATCCTTCATTTAAGGACTTCTCTGGTCCCAAGGAAATACTGCGAAAATAATACTTCCTCCATTCTTTTTTAGTTGCAACATTCCCATTTTCATGATTTTCAACGCACAACTTTGACCATCATTATATTTAATTCTGTGTTAGTAAAAAACTTAAAAATCATATTACGAAAAATTGTAATGAGATGAATTCAATAATATTTTATAAAAAAAATCATACACTAATAAATAAAATGTAGTTAAAGTAGAGCATGTGAATAGTATAAAACTTTCCATGTTGCAACTAAAAAGAAACGGAGGATGGTATAAATGAAGGGATAGGTGAAAACTAAAAGGATATAAAATGTTGGGAAAAATAAAAAGTAGGACAAAATCCAATTAACTTATTTTAGATATTTATTGCAACATATTTTATTCATTAATGTCTATTAAATAAAGATGAAGATATCTAATTACATATATACTCCCTCCGTCCCAAAATGAACTTCACAGTTACTATTCACATGGTCAACTTAAATTACTCTTAATCTTATGTTTTATATATCAAATTTTTATCAAATTTATATTTTTTTATCAGCCTTTGTAGCGGTTTTAATGTAGTTTCTCAAGATGTAAATTTTATTTACTAAAAGTAATCTGAGTATGAACAGAGATCGAGTTGCTTTATCGTCGGTCAAGCACCGTAATCCGAAATGGGAAGTTCATTTTGGGACGGAGGTAGTAATTTTCAAGCAACTAATCTTAATCTGATATAGGGGCGTTTTATTATTATTATTATTACTATTATTATATTATTATTACCACTATTATTATTACTATTACTATTATAATTACACTTTTATTATTATTATTAGATTCCTTTATAAGTATTGGTATTGGTTTCCTATTGTTATTAGAAATAGTAGTTCCCCATTAAGGAAGTCTGTTTTATTTAATATTCCTCAGAGCAGTATTATACGTAGTAATAGATTAGGGTTACTCTAATACTACTCTTGGACCTAGTATAAGTATAGGTGCTCTACTCATTAATAATATGATCAGTATTTTTGGAGTTAATCCTTGGAGTCTTTGACAAGGTCGGATGCCACCTTCTCTTGACTAGGCGGAGAAGTTCTTCATTTTTATTAAGTTCAGTTATTTTATTTTCATCTCCCAAACACCCCCCGGAATGCATTCTTGTGTACAATTACCAAAAAATAATAACATTTATTGATTTATATTTACTTTCCTTTGCACTTTTTCCCGCTTCCGTTTAGAACTTTTCATGATCCACACATACCTTAACAGTTCCTTCTCAAGTAATAAGAATATAAATTAGCATCCTTCACGAATAAAACCAGCCTATACCTGTCTCTTTAATAGAAAGCTGATGCCAAATGCCAAGTCTCCAATGGGCCACTTACCCAAAGTCTCTGAGTAAGTAAACCTAAGAGTCTCGGACAATGTTGAGATAGTCTCCAGCCAAGTCGCCGGAGCTTGTATCAGTTTACGTGAAACCCTTACATCTTCTACTCTAACACCGTTGTGCCCATCACACCCATTTTCATCATCAACATCCTCATTTGGCAGATTAGATTGTAACTTTCTATTTAACGTGTAATATAGAAGTGCAGCAGCACCAGCTGCTGTAGCCATTGTTGCTGTGGCCATCAAATTCCGGTCCCTGTTTCATATCATATAAAGTCGGATTCTTTTGGCCTTACAAAACTTCATAGAAATGTTTAGGCTGTAAATTAGTAGCCCCATAACTACATCTGAAGTTCATGTCTTTATCAGATGCGGTCAAAGGTAATATGATCCAAAAAGAAACCAAAATGAAATATTGAGAAGTAAAATAAGTAAAGGAAGGATTGTTTTGCTCAATCAACGAAATACCATTACATTGAATCAAACCCTTCATTGACTTTCTTTAAGCCCTATCAAAAGAAAGTTTGAAGTCAATGTGTAAATCTGAATTCCAAAGTAACATTGATTATCGAATACAAATGAACATAAAGCAATTCCTTTTGTAAACATACAAACATTTTACCAGAATAATAGCGAGAGAGAAAAACCTAAAAACCCCTCACGATGAAATTCATACAAACGCCAGAGATAGAGAGAGACTGTATCGGAGTGAGGGGAATCATGTTACGAACCTGAACAAGCCGATAATTGTGAAACGCGGTTATTAAACAATTTAGCTTCAGGTCTACGGAACGCAAAATCGGAGTAGCAAGTAAATAAATGGAAATTTCTGGTTGATATGAACTGCGAATAGATCAACCAGAATAAAGCTGACGTTTACGTAAATGCTTTTTCAGGGTTCAGAGGCTTGGCTCGGATCTGAATTTGGACTAGCAAATTCTGGTTTCCCCTCGGGTTTGTTGGTTGTTTTATTTTTTTCTGGTTTGTTTTACGGAGTATCTTTTCGAAGAAGAAGCCCCGGACCTGCTCGGAAGAGTCTTCTGTAACGTATAGTAATGAGAATGACACGTGTCGTGCACACGTGGAAATACAGCTTTTCCATGTCATTTTACTCAGAGTAGGCCGGCTCAGCCAGATATGGGTTTTTTTGTCTGCCGCCTGTTTCATTAAAAGATTTTAAAAGAATTCCATAAATAGAACTGAAAGAAGATAGATTTGCAAAAATAGGACATATCATTTTAAATTATTTAAATTGGACTAATTATTTGTATTATGACAAAAATGGCATTGTTAGTGCAGTGGACCGATGACTTTGTGATGAATGTTCGTTGGGTACAACGAACGTCGCTGGCGACGAACGGATGGCTCTGTTACATGCCCAGATAAGTTTCTTCTTTTTTATCTTTTTCTTCCGCTCCTCTACTTCCTCTCAAGCCGCCATGATTTCATCTTCTACAAATTTTCTATTTTCTTCTTCTTTTGAATTTTCATTTTTTATTAATCTGATTAATTTATTTTAAAAGATTCATATTATTGTTCTCATCACTTCAATAAAAAATGTCATAATTGATGTTCAATGCAACATCGATTTGTAATATTGTCACTTTTATGACATTAAAGTGACGGTTCAAAAAAGAAAATGACATCTCCAAAATGTAATAATGTCATTCTCGTGACATTTTCGAAACAAAAATGACATATTAAAAGTGTCAGTTTTTAAGTAACAATGTCAGTTTCATGACATAGTGTCATCTTGATAAATGTAATTTCATAAAAGTGACATTTTTCTAATTGCTAGTAAAAAATAATATTATCATTTTAATAGGTGCAATGCCATAAAAGTGACATTTTTCTAAATATTATGTAGTATTAATTTTATGGCATTCTTAAATTCTAGATTAATTGAAATTAATAAATAAATAAAATTCAAAATAAAAGAAGAAGAAAACGCAGGACATTGAAGAAGATGAGAAGAAGGGGAAGGAGAGGAAGAGGAGGAAGAAGAAGAAATGAAGAAGATTACCTGCTATTCGAAAGAGGGGGCTACTTCCTCCTGCAACTGTTGGTGAAAGATTGTTGAGAAGAGATCTTTTGGACGGCAGCGAAGGCGGCTTAAGAGACCAGATTGAGATGGGAGCAAAGCTTGGCCGGAGAATTGGTGGAGGAATTGCAACAGCTCCGATCTGAAGAGCAGTGGCTCCAATCTGAAGAGCAGCGGCTTCGATCTGGAAAGCAGTGACGTCAATGGGAGAAATTGCAGATGCGCAGAAGAAGTTGCACGCACAGAGCGGAGAGAGGCGGAGAAATTGGGTTTAATTAGAGGAAGGGTAAAAGTTTAATCTGGAGTCCTGTTTAGGGAATAAAAAACTTGAAATCTCATTAGGAATTTCGTCCATGTTTCAGTCCCGTCTTGGGCAATTTCTTAAATATTTTCAAAAAAATACTTCGTACTCGTATTACATAGTACTCTTTCCGCATTAAATAAATATTTTGGTAAGTTCTTCACGTAATTTAAGATATTTATATGTGTTGAGTTTATTCGCCACAGTCCAGAAGTTCAACACCCCTTCCGGGAAGGTTTCGTGGCTATGGGGTGATAATACAATGTAGACAATGATTTTTACGTGGAAACCGGCCGGAAAGGAAGAAAACCACGGGACTGTTTAGGCTAATGTCCAAGCCCTCTCATTTTATTAATACTCTTCTCCCCATTACATAATATAATATTGAAGCTCCCATTAATGGAGGAAACAAGCTAGCTAGAGAGAGGGATGAAGAAAAGGAACCCCCTAAAATGGAGGGAAACCCCCATATTTATAGAAAAAACGGGGAGGGGAGCATTTCTACCCTAATGGGCCGAGAGGGCCAAAATGGGCCCAAAAGGCCAAAACATGTCTGATAGGCTGAAAATGGCCCTCGTCGTTTGGGCTCTGTAGTGGGGTAATGTGTTGGGCTCCTGAACAGTAACAGGCCGAGATAATATACCCAACACAAGTCCCCCAGTTTCTTGAGTACTGAGCGTGTGAATCTGCTCGAGAAAGTATATTCTTGCTCGCGCTCTTCCTTGATCTTCCTTGGACTTGAGTCTTCGAGCATCCTATTGCATGGGTGGGTGTCTGCCCCTCTGAACATAATCTGCCGGTAAGGCGCTCCCCCTCCTGACTGTATCGGGCAAGGGACGCTCTTCCCCGAACCCTCTCTCCCTGACTGTATCAGGCGGGAATAAAGGACTACAACCTGGGTTTGCTACCCGAGGACCTTACGAGACCCGAACCAAGCGTGACGGGTCCCATCCTATAAAGGAGTAGTGATCCCAAATATGAACATGACACGATGGCAATGAGGGGTCAATCGTGCTGCATAAGACGGTGGTCGCCATCCTGGAAAGAATGTACGAGCCGACCGTGAACTGGACACGATGGCGCTGAGGGGCCGATTGTGCTGCATAAGACGGTGGTCGCCATCCTGGAAGGAAGGTACGAGCCGACCGTGAACTGGACATGATGGCGCTGAGGGGCCGATCGTGCTGCATAAGACGGTGGTCTCCATCCTGGAAGGAATGTATGAGCCGACCGTGAACTGGACACGATGGCGCTGAGGGGCCGATCGTGCTGCATAAGACGGGGTCGCCATCCTGGAAGAGATATACGAGCCGAACGTGAACTGGACACGATGGCGCTGAGGGCCGATCATGCTGCATAAGACGGTGGTCGCCATCCTGGAAGGAAGGTACGAGCCGAACGTGAACTGGACACAATGGTGCTGAGGGGCCGATCGTGCTGCATAAGACGGTGGTCGCTATCCTGGAAGGAATGTACGAGCCGACCGTGAACTGGACACGATGGCACTGAGGGGCCGATCGTGCTGCATAAGACGGTGGTCACCATCCTGGAAGGAATGTACGAGCCGACCGTGAACTGGACACAATGGCGCTGAGGGGCCGATCATGCGGCATAAGATAGTGGTCCTCATCTGCTCGTCGTACCTACCCTTTAGCCCGGTCCTTTGAATCCTGACCTGAACTAAGACGTCGTAGTCTGTGAGGCACGGTTTGATCCTCTTGGGATTCTTTTGTTTGATCCATCTTGGGATTCTTTTGTTTGATCCGTCTTGGGATTCTTTTGTTTGATCCGTCTTGGGATTCTTTTAACTTACCGTTCCTTGGATTCTTTTATTTAATCCTTCTTTGGATTCTTTTATTTGATCCTTCTTTGGATTCTTTTATTTGATCCTTCTTTGGATTCTTTTATTTGATCCTTCTTTGGATTCATTTATTTCTTCGTTCCATCATCCGCTTGTCGTACCCGCTCGTCTAGCCCGATCCTTTTGGATCCTGAGCCGAGCGTAGCCGACGTAGTTCGTGACGAACGGCCTTCTCTTCTTCCTTTGGTCCTTTTTGGGATTCTTTTAACTGATCCTTCTTTGGATTCTTTTATTTGATCCTTCTTTGGATTCTTTTAACTGATCCTTCCTTTGATTCTTTTATTTGATCCTTCTTTGGATTCTTTTGTCTGATCCGTTTCATCATCCGCTCGTCGTACCCACTCGTTTAGCTTGGTCCTTGGATTATGAGCCGAGCGTAGCCAAAGTAGTCGGTGAGGAACGACCTTCTCCTCTTGGGGGTTTTCTCTTCTTCCTTGTTTGATCCTTCTTGGGATTCTTTTAACTGGTCTTTCTTTGGATTCTTTTGTTTTGATCGTCATCCGCTCGTTTAGCCCGGTCCTTTGGATCCTGAGCCGAGCGTAGCCAACGTAGTTAGTGACGAACGGGTTTGTCCCCATTGGGGATTCCCCAATGCCCCTCTAATATTTTTTTAGGGGTCATTGAATATGACGATGGCACCGTACTAGGGGGTCGGTGGCTAAATAAAGGTGTCAGCTATGGTCGATCTGCAAGAACCAATCAACGGTCCTCATCCGCAAGGAGCGGGGACAAGGCCGGTCTTCAAATGTGATGATGGCACCGTACCATGGGGTCGGTTGCCATATGATGATGTCGGCTTTGGGGGCCGATCTGAAAGAATCAATCAACGGTCCTCATCCGCGAGGAGCGAGGACGAGGCCGACCGTCTTCAAATGTGATGATGGCACCGTACCAGGGGGTCGGTGGCCATATGATGATGTCGACACTGGGGGCCGATATTAAAGAATCAATCAACGGTCCTCATCCGCGAGGTGCGGGGATGAGGCCGGTCTTCAAATGTGATGATGGCACCGTACTAGGGGTCGGTGGCCATATGGTGATGTCGGCACTGGGGGCCGATCTGAAAGAATCAATCAACGGTCCTTATCCGCGAGGAGCGGGGACGAGGCCGGTCTTCAAATGTGATGATGGCACCATACCTGGGGGGTCGGTGGCCATATGATGATGTCAGCACTGGGGACCGATCTGAAAGAATCAATCAACGGTCCTCATCCGTGAGGAGCGGGGACGAGGCCGGTCTTCAAATGTGATGATGGCACCGTACCAGGGGGTCGGTGGCCATATGATGATGTCGGCACTGGGGGCCTATATGAAAAAAATCAATCAACGGTCCTCATCCGCGAGGAGCGGGACGAGGCTGGTGTTCAAATGTGACGATGGCACCGTACTGGGGGGTCGGTGGCTAGGAAATGATGTCGGCACTGAGACCGATCTGAAAGAAGGAATGGACGAGTGGAGATGCTCGTCTCCAGGCCCTTGGGATCCCATCCAAAGGACAGGTTTATCCCTTGGGATTCCCTGGTGCCCCTCTGTTGGGATATTGACCTAGAGGCCCAATACCCAGATCGGGAAGGCCCAAGGTATCCGGCCCAAGTAACAGGCCCATCACTCTATGATGAAAAGATCCAGTAAGGAGACATACCGAACGGGGTTCGGCCCAAATAAAGGTTGGCCCAATAAGAAGACATACCGAACGAGGTTCGGACTATATATTGTACTTGGGCCAATTTTACAGCATCTTCAGTACGGAACAACATCCCGTTCGAGCAACGGCCAACCAGCAAGTGGCCAGGTGCAGTTAATGCCAGACTGTGACATCAGCAAGTGGAAGCATGGAT